GTGTAAGTAATAGAAAAAGGTTGAAAATATTAGTTTGTGGGGACACGAGTTGCTCAGTTATTAAACAAATAATGTTGTGTACAAGAAAGTTTTAAATAATATATTTTCTGCCTGAGGAACAATTTATGGTTTGACAATTTCCCTACGAATTATCACTTTTTATTTATTAATACATTTTAATTTTTAATATTCCCCAAAATAAATACATCTCGTGCATCGCACGGGTTCCATACTAGTATTGTATAAAGAGAAATGCTTAATAATATATGTTATCATTGATTGTATATAATTTATTTCCATAATGAGATGAGATGTAGAAAATATAAAGAATTATATTTAAAATAAAGTCTAAAAAAGTTTAAAATATGAACTCCTCCGTGCATCGCACGGGAAATACACTAGTTGTTTATTGATATGATTAACTTAAGAATATATAAGTAAATCTAATGTATGTTAAAAATGTGACAGATCTGGATATTTTAGATACAATATATAATATATATGATATAAATATCTTGAGTTACAAAAGAAATTTATATGTGATTTATTACCTTAATAAATCAGCCGCAATTACCTAAATTCTATTTTTAAAACATATCATAAAGTGTTTAAATAGTTTCCAAAATTAGTAAACAACATTTTTGTTTGGCGGGAAATAGTTACTATTTAAAAATAATCAATTTTATATATATATATATATATATATATATTTAGATATAGATTTAAATATAGATTATTTGTTTAACCAATCAACCATGTAGTTCACGGGTTGTAACAGTTAATTATAAACTAAAATAAAATGTTATCCCCAACATAAACCTAATGTAGCATTTCTTTTTTTCTTTTTTTATTTTTATTTTTGAATAAACCTAATGTAGCGTATCATATAAGCTTTAAAACTCAAAAATTTGTACATGTTATCGCCAACATAAATCTTAACCGTGAGATCCAGTTACATCCAATCCTAGCCGTGGAATCTAGGTGAACCTAACTTTCATCCTCCTCCTCGTATATAAACCATCCAGCAGCCCACCCAGAATCACCACCACTGTCAAAAAAAACTAGGGCTTGTTTGTTCATTTTTCACCGGTCGGTATCAATCAATGGCTCCCAAGGCTTCCAAGGCCGAGAAGAAGATCGCTTACGATCAAAAGCTGTGCAAATTTCTGGATGAGTACACGCAGGTTTTGGTGGTGGCGGCGGACAACGTCGGCTCCACACAGCTTCAGAACATAAGGCGAGGTCTCAGAGGCGATTCTGTGGTTCTCATGGGTAAGAACACTATGATGAAAAGGAGTGTAAGGCTTCATGCTGACAAGACTGGCAACCAAGATATTCTCAGTCTCATCCCTCTCCTTGTAGTAAGCCTCTACTTTTTTTTTTTTTTTAATTAATTAATTACAAATTAATTAATTTGTACTTGTTGATCTCGTTGCATGGAAATATATGTTGTTTAGGAATTTACATTATTAGTTTGTACATACATTAATTATAGAAATCGCTGGATCCCAATAAATATACTTTATTAATTTTTGTTGTTATAATAATATCTTGTTGTAACAGGGAAATGTTGGGCTGATCTTCACCAAGGGTGACTTGAAAGAAGTCAGCGATGAGGTTGCAAAGTACAAGGTGAATGGACTAAAACCCAGATTTATATAATCTTATTTTTCATATATAAAATAGTATATAACAAATTTCTACTTGATATATATTGGTATCTAAATTAGTTGTCTGTCTGGCAGTCTTGTGTTTAAATAAATGCAAATGATACCTTGTCCATTAAAGTGTCACCATAATAGCCTGCACAGCACACATTTTGACTTGGATTATTAGCCTTTTTATTAATCCCTTTGTTAGTTATATATCATATCTCTTCATTGTGGAAAATGGTGACCATATGGAGTGAGATTGGGAAGGTTATACACATTATGTAGCCTTTGCTTTCTATCTTTGTTCCATGTTGTGTATATAATTTTATATTTTATTTTTTGCATTCTTCCATTGTCTGTCATGATTGTTAATAGGTTGGTGCCCCTGCTCGTGTCGGTTTGGTTGCCCCAATCGACGTCGTGGTCCCACCTGGAAACACTGGTCTGGACCCATCCCAAACATCTTTCTTCCAGGTACATACACTTGTAAAAAGCAAATTTTTTTATTTATGGTCTCATTCATTACATTTTTCCAGTAAACCATAATGTATAATATCTTGATATGAACAGGTCCTTAACATCCCCACGAAGATTAACAAGGGGACTGTTGAGATCATCACCGCAGTTGAACTTATCAAGAAGGGGGACAAGGTTGGGTCCTCGGAAGCTGCTCTGCTTTCAAAGCTGGCCATAAGGCCTTTCTCGTACGGGCTGGTTGTGCTCTCGGTTTACGACAATGGGTCTGTTTTCAGCCCGGAGGTTCTCGACCTGACTGATGATGACCTCGTCGAAAAGTTTGCAGCCGGTGTCTCTATGCTCACCTCTCTTTCGCTCGCCATTGCTTATCCGACCCTATCGGCTGCACCCCACTTGTTGATCAACGGCTACAAGAATGTGTTGGCTCTTGCGGTAGAGACCGATTACTCTTTCCGTCTGGCTGATCAAGTCAAGGAGTATCTTGCGGTATGCCTACTTTTGCTTCTGAATTGCTACTGGTGATGTTTTTTTGATATTTTGATTAGCTGGATGGATGATGTTACTCTTAAAGTTTGATAAGGAAAAATGTGTTGAAACTTGAAATGCAAGAAATGACTGTTTTGGTTTGTGGCAAATGATAGCTTACCTATCATCTATCAATGATATGAGTAAAGTTTGGCTTTCTGTCTGAGATTAATTTGCTGATTTCTTCAACAATGCAGGATCCGAGCAAGTTTGCTGCTGCTGCTGCTGCACCTGTTGCTGCTGCTGCTGGTGGTGCTCCGGCGTCTGTGGCTAAGGAGGTTGAAAAGAAAGAGGAGTCTGAGGAGTCTGAAGACGACATGATTATAGGCCTGTTTGATTAAGTTTAATGCTTTATTTGCGGTCTTGGGCTTGTCGACTACTGTCAGTTGACTTCTTATCTATTAGAGGTGGAAGTCAAACTATCTTTTTGTTGGCTTTTTTAATTTTTCAGCAACTTTTTTCGAAACACAAATATGGCCACACTTGTATTTCGGCTGCACTTTTGTTTTATCCGTGTGGGAATGCACAAGTTACTATGCAGTTGGACATTGTTAAGTGTTAAAATAATTAATGCTCATTTAATCAAATTAGTTAAAAGCTAGTAAGAATATTGTCTAGTTAGTTGTTAAGAATGAATTACTAGTTGCTTGGATTAAATGACTTAATGGCATAGTTTTTAAACCCGGCCCGGTAATCGACCCGGGCAGGTCTTTGGGTCACCGGGTCACCGGTTCAACTGCCGGGTCACCGGGTCAATTGCTGAACCGTATAATTAATTTTAAAATTTATAAAATTATATATAGAGTATTTTGTGATT